ATTGTTTTATTTCTGTAATCTCCCTCCTGACTTCATCCTTTAGCTTTTGCATATTTCTCTGCAGGTCCATCAGCATGGTTATGACCTTTATTTTGAATTCTTTTTCAGGAAGATTGGTTATATCTATCTCCCCAGGCCCTCTCTCTGGGGTTGTCTGGGTGATTCTTGACTGGACCAGATTCTTCTGCCTTTTCATGGCGATAGAGGTGGTTGTAGGCAGGTGGCACATGTGACAGCTGGGACAACAAAGTCCCTTCCTGCTTACTGATCACCTTGCCCTTCTCCGCTGCCTGCGGTGGTTCCCTGCACACTGGGAGCAGCCCTCGGGGTAGCCCAGAGCCCTGCGGGGAGAGGCAGGTGCGCTGGGTGTGCTTTCCTGCTAGAATGGTGCCCCTTCACGCCTTGCCCCAGCCTCCTCTGTCTGTGCCGGGCAGCTGCGCACTGGTGGCAGCCTCTGGGTCCAGCCCGGGCAGCTGCACACTGGGCAGAGCCTCTGGGTAGCTGCTGTGAGCGGGGCCGCTCTCAGGCTGCTCTGCTGCTGTAGCGGGGCCATGCGGGAGGGGGAATGAATGGCAGGCTGCTTATCGCTGTGAAGGGCTTCAAAGCTGCATTGCCACCGCGGGGGTTAGGGCGCCTGAAGTTCCTCAGGATTCCCAGCCTGCTGGGCTGAGTGTGCCGGGAGGATTCCGTCCAGCTGTGAGGCCCCTGTCCCTTTAAGACTTTCAAAAAGCACTTGCTTTTCTTTTGTCCCAGGGGAGCCAGCTGTGGGGACCCACTCACAGAGTTTACTTTTCAGTTTCTCTAATATCCAGCATGGCGTGCAGTGTGTGTCTGCGCTCCTGGTGCAGTTATTAGGGCTGGTTATTCAGCAGTCCTGGGCTTCTACTCCCACCCCACTTGGACTCCTCTCCTCCCGCCAGTGGGCTGGGGTGGGGAAGTGCTTGGGTCCCGCCGGGTCACAGCTTGTATCTTACCCCCTTCATGAGATGCTGAGTTCTTGCAGATGTAGATGTAGCCTGGCTGTTGCACTGTATCTTCTGGTCTCTCTGTTAGCATGGCTGTATTTGTTGTATATTCAAAAATATATATGGTTTTGGGAGATTTCTGCTGCCCTACTCACGCCACCATCTTGGCTCCTCAAGTTTGAACGTAAGTATTTTGACTGATCACAAAGTCCGTCATGGGTGTGGGAGAGTGAGGCAGTGGCTTTAAATGGTTCCCCTGGACTCCAGCTGCCTCCCAACTCAGACCACCCCACCTCTCTGCACTGACTGCAGAGAACCACCTGGTCCCTAGCTCTGCTGCCCCTGGTATACTGAGTATATGCCCCATTCTCAGAGGGGAGAACAACCTGGTTCTTTATAGTCTAGGCTCACCCACTTCTCAGCCCCACCCGGCTTTTCCCAACTGCACCCACAAGCAAGCAAACAACTAGCGCACAGTAGGGATATAAATATTTCTTGGTTGCTGTGTGAAATTGTGGCTGAAGGGGGAAGGGGTAGACAAGCAAGGAATAACAGGAGAGGAAATACTTTAATTCAGGTGGTCAGAGAAGGCTTCCTGGGGGGAGATGACTAGAGCTTCCTAAGGTATGAAGGCAGGCGGAAAAGGTGAAAAGCACTGTGAGAAGGGATGAGAATATTTTGAGAATAGCATCTAGAACAGGCCAACAGGAGAAAAAGCTTCTTGTGTTTGAAAAGAAAACAAAAGCAAAAAACCTGAACAAGAAGAAATAGTGATATTCAGTCACCTGCATGGCCAGAGTAAGGGCCGGGTGGAGATGGCAGGCAGACAGAGGGTGGGCAGAGGCGGGCAGAGGTGGGAAGGTGCGGGAAGGCGGGTGGGGAGCCCACAAGCGCATCTGAAGCTGGAGAATCACCTGAGCCAACTTCGTTCAAAGAAGCCCTCCTAGTGCTGGGGTGTGGAGGACGGATCAGGCTCAGGCAGAGCGGGAAGGTGAACTGGCCAACGGTGAAAAGATGGCTTAGTTCAAAATACACTTTGGAGAGAGGATTGATAGGATGGGCTGGTGGTTCCACACAGCAGGAATGAGGGAAGAGGCAGGTGGGTTTGTAGCATTTCCTCGGGTGGGCTGGAGGAGGAACAGCTTTGGAGGATAAATCTGTGAATGCCCTTTGGCACGTGTCAGTTTCAAGGAGTGTGTGGACTAAATGGAGGAGACACGCAGGCAAGTGGACATCCGGGTACGAGGCTTGTCCGAGAGGTGTGAGCCGGCCACGCCGCTGGAGGAGGCGTCCACGCAGCATGGATGGTGTTTACCCTGAAGGGAGGGAATGATGACCGGGGAGAGAGTGCAGAGAAAGGAAAAGGAAGGAAGAGGCCCTGGGCTGAAGCCTGAAAGTGTGGACATTAGAGGGCGGGGGGGAAGAAGAGAGGCCCAGGAGGTGAGAGGAAAACCAAGAGAGTGGACGCCTGGGGGCCAAATGCCTTTGCCTTTGTGAAGCTACACCCCCCCTACACACCCTGGCCACCAGCAAAGCCCCTTTCCCTCCCCCGGACCCCCCATGTCTCTGTTCACATTGCCGGATGAGCATTGCTCTGGGAAGTGGCTCACAGGAGCCCATCTGCTTGTGGCTCTTCTCCCCAGCTGGTTAATTCGAGCTTCCTGAGGGTGGGGGTGGGGGGGTGCGCATCTTATTCAACCCTGAACCCCCATGCCCCACAGAAAGCAAAGGAGGCCATCAATACATGTTTGGTGGGGGAATGACACT